TTTCAAGGAATTTTCTCATTTATTACGTAGAATTTGTTTCCATTACTCTCACAATTATAATGGTTTAATTATTATCAGAATTTGGTAACCATTTTCCATTTTGAGTACATATTGACTTTAATTTGTAGTAACAATTCATTAGATATTAGTTAATTTCCATATAAAATTTTGGTACCAATTAAGTTTTATTAATTTTTGTACCAATTAATTAGTATTCAAATTAGTTTAGGCGGGAAAGTTAAGAGGATAATTTTACTTTTATTAATAGTATAGATAGATATTAGGGTGTGTTTGGTTGGCAGGTTTAGCACTCATGTATGGGTATGAAAGTGGTTGTTATTGTTTGATGGACTGATTTTTAAAACACTACTATAGGTTTGAAATATCTCATTAATGGAAAAACTCATTCCCTTATTTTACAAGGGTTTCATCCCATTATTCATTCTTAGTCTAATCATTCTCATTCCACCCTACTACCAAACTTGCAAAATACTTTCATCAAAACTCATTACCATTATCAAGTATTTGATACTCATTCCAATTCCGATTCCCATGTGTGAACCAAACACGCCCTTAGTTAATTTTCATATAAAATTTTGTTGCCAATTAAGATTTATTAATTTTTTTTTACATTAATATTCATATTAGTTTGGGAGGGAAAGTTGAAGATAAAGATTTTACTTTTATTTATAGAATCATGATTCTGTTATAATGCAGTATTTGTTTATAACTATTGAAGCATAAAGAGTTAATATCACCTCCAGTCCTTCATTGAAGCTTGAACCCCCAACCTCTCATTTGGAAAAGTAATTTAGTGCCACTAAATCACAAGATTTAGCACTTAATGGAAGGACGTCGTATAGGATGCGTAGCTCCCTACGATGACTTTCGCTTTGAGTCCCTCACCGTAATAGTAGTGGTAGTCTTAGTAATAAATAAGTAAAAGTTGTTTGGGTAACTAACATATATCCGACCTTAGCTCAGTTGGTAGAGTGGAGGACTGTAGTTTGATCGCTGAAATCCTTAGGTCACTGGTTCGAATCCGGCAGGTCGGATATTTTGGCTGTTAAATATTTCCTTTTATCATTAAACGCAAGAAATCCAAAAACCGTTAAAGACGCCGTTGCCGGGGATCGAATCCGGGTCACCCGCGTGACAGGCGGGAATACTCACCACTATACTACAACGACTTTGTTGTTTAATCTTTTACATATTACTTAATAAATAATGAAACAAGCTTCAACACAACACTTCTCATGGCCAAGCCTTTACAGTAAATTTGATAAAAATATTACTTCAACATCTTAACTAGTTATTGAAAAATATAAAGCCAATCATTAATAGTAAATAATCTTTCTAATTCCATTTATTGTTCTCTTCTCTCATGTGCGTGTATATATGAGGTTTCTAACACATAGGGGGGAGGGGATGAAGGTTAACATTTATGTTATCAAGAAGGGTGAAGTGTCAAATAGCACCACGAACCAACAACGAAATGTCATCTCGCACCCTAATCTTACATAAGTGATTATTCGATTCACAAACTAAAAAAATTTGTTCACTTAGTATTTTTTACAGGTTTCCCTGTTGCCTTGGTGACATGGCTCCGGTAAAAATATGACGTGGAAGTGATTGTGTTTATTTATAACAGAGTCTTCTTATTCTTCTTCCTATCAGAAAGCTACAGAGCCGTATTCTTCTTCTTCCTATCGCAAAGCTCCAACAACGCCTTCTTCTTCTTCCTATCGCAAAGCTCCAGTCGTCTTCTTCTTCTTCCTATCGAACCCACAGCTCTACAAGATGTCTTCTTCCTCAACTTCATCACGTGTTAGAGTAAATATGGAGTACGAGCCAAGTGTGTATTGTAATTGTGGGTTGAAAGCTCCAATTTGCACAAGTAGAGAATCGAGAAAGCAATTCTTTGGGTGTCAAAGATGGAAGGTACGTAGTTAGTGAAATTTTGTATGAATTTTGATTTTTCAATTGTATTGCAATTTAAAACTAGGGTTTGTTCGTTGTTTGGGTATTTTATTTGGCTATTTGATTTTGGTAATTTGATAGCACTGCATATATGCAATTTGATAGCTTTGGTAATTAATTTGATTTTGGTAATTTGATAGCACTGCATATATGTAATTTGATAGCTTTGGTAATTAATTTGATTTTGGTAATTAAAGCTACGGTTTGTTCATTGTATAGGATGGCAATGGATGTGGTTTTTTTCTTTGGAAGGATCACAGTGCACGAAGGGTTGAAGGTAAGGATGAAGACATAAAGAAGATGGTGGTGTCTTTGAGGTCTAAAATTACAGATTAGGGCTTAGGGCTTAAACTAGGCGATTGGGTTTGCGATTACGGATTTCGGTTTGCGATTAAGGATTTGGTTTCAAGTCGCGATTCGGGATTGCGATTATGAGGAAGAGAATCGAAGAAATTTTGTTGGACCATGTTCTTTTGTCGATTTTGGATTTGGGATTTGGGATTTGGATCGCCTAAATTATTACATTAATACACATTTTTTTATCGCCTGACTTGGAATTTGGGATTTGGATCGCCTGACTTAATATCCTAAATAATGGATGCCACATCAATACACATCTCTACCACATCTACTAAATACGACACATCGCACCCAAGTCAGCGCCACGTCACCGACTTATAACCTTTAACTTGAGGGTAACCTATAAAAAATGCTAGGTGAATAATTTTTTTTGGTTTGTGAATCGAATAATCACTTATATAAGATTATGGTGCGGGATGACATTTCGTTGTTGGTTCATGGTGCTATTTGGCACTTGAGCCTATCAAGAAATGTAGTCAAAATTTTCTTTTATCTTCTTTATTGTATCTGAGTCAATATACACCAGAAGAAGAGAAAGAAAAGCATGATCCCATGATTGAAAATAAAAATTAAAAAAAAAATGGTTCATTATTCAAAACCTAAAATTAAAAAAAAAAATCAAAATCCAACTAGAAGAGATCGAAAATCAAAATCCAACTAGAAGAGATCGAAAAGGCTTGATTCGAGCTCGTGTGCGCCGGTCCCTGCGTGCACGAATGTACCTGCACCCCAACGGTTAGAAACCCGAAAGTTCAGAAGATTAAACTCATCTGTAATACTCCTACTTAGTGGGTGGATGTTACACAATTGGTTAGTTCAGAAGATTAAACTCATTTGTAATCCTCCTACTTAGTGGGTGGGTGTTACACAATTGGTTTTAATACCCAATTTAATGGCCATGTTGAATGTTATCCCTCCAACATCCCTATATAAAGAGAGGTAGGACAGAAGCATTTTACACGGTGAGAAATCAAAGGAATTCCAGTACAGTTTTGCTTCAAAAACGTCTGCTTCTACTCTCTTCATTCACCAACAGTGTTTTTGCTCTTGCTTTGTTTGCCGGGTTCTTTGTTTAGGTGCTTAAACAAAGAATCGTAGCACGTTTTATCCTGAGAAACCTAGGCTACAACTCTCCTAGCACTTGTGGGGGGTAGCAAATGAGGTTTTAAGGAAAAGAACTTTGTGTTCGAATTCGTGCTAAACCTATATCCAAACACTCCACCTTTTCCTTCCCAGTTTTCTATTTTTCCCTTATAATAATAATTTTTCTGTAGAATTATTATTTTAGGATTTTTCAACCATATTACCCAACAATTTTTTCATTTTTTCTTTTTTAAGTACATATTGACTTTAATTTGTGGTACCAATTCATTAGATATTCATATTAGTATATATTGACTAATATATTACAAAATTTTATATGAAAAATTCCCACGAAATTCTAATATATTAGTTAATTTGCATATAAAGTTTATAACAATATATACTATTAATTTTGTAATACAAATGGGATTCTAATATATTACTTACTGCATACTAATCTATACTAATATGAATACTATTTTTTTTTTTTTTTTGAAAGGATATGAATACTACTTAATTGGTAAAAAATTAATAAAGCTTAAGTGGTAACAAATTTTTTTTTGAATGCTACTGGCTCTATTACAACTCTCAACCTACTGAAACACAAAGAACCAATAATGCCTCTACTGAGGCTCGAACTCACAATCTTCCAAATGAAAGTCCAACACAGGTACCGTTAAACCACATAGTCCTAGTAGTGGTAACAAATTTTTATATTAAAATTAAATAATATCTAATGAATTATTACCACAAAAATTACTATTACGTAAATCAGTATTCTGTGTGTGTAGAATTCGAATTATTATTATTGGTGTAAAATCAGTATTCAAATTATTATTATTGGTGTAAATAATAATTAATTATTATTATTTCCTTATAAAATTATGAAGAATTTCAAAGGAATTTTCTCATTTATTACGCAGAATTTGTTCCATTATTCTCGCAATTATAATGGTTTACTTATTCTCATAATTTGGTAACAATTTTTCATTTTTAAGTACATAATGACTTCAATTCATTATATATTAGTTAATTTTCATATAAAATTTTGTTACAAATTCAACTTTATTAATTTTTTTTTACCAATTAGTTAATATTCATATTAGTTTAGGCGGAAATTTTGAAGAGGAGGATTTTAGTTTTATTAATAGTATAGATTGGTGTAAATAATAATTAAAAAATTATTATTTTCTTATAAAATTACGCAGAATTTCAAAGAAATTTTTCCATTTATTATGCAGAATTTATTTTCATTATTCTCACAATAACAATGGTTTAATTATTCCCAAAATTAGATAATCATTTTCCATTTTTAAGTACATATTGATTTTAATTTTTGGTAACAATTAATTAGATATTAGTTAATTTTCATATAAGTTTTTGTTACCAATTAAGCTTGATTAATTTTTTTATCAATTAATTAGTATTCATATTAGTTTGTGCGGGAAAGTTGAAGAGAAGAATTTTACTTTTATTTATAGTACAGATAGATTACAAACCGTTAGGTAATTAAGTGCGGTTAAAAATAACCGATCATAACCGACCGAAAATTTTGGTTTTCGGTCGGTTATGGGAAGGTTAATATTTTTTCGATTATTTCGGTTATTAACCGAAACCGACCGATAGATGCTCACCCCTAGTTGTGGGTTCAAGCCTTAGTGGAGACGGTATTGACTCTTTGTGTTTCAGTAGGTTGAGAAAGTAGTTATGAACAAATACTGCATTGTAACAGAGACAGCGGTACTCACAAAACATAATATTAACAATTCTCAATAATGACCATCCTTTCGTCATGCTCATTGAATGTCTTTGGTGGCAAGCCTTTAGTTAATAGGTCTGCAATCATCAATCTAGTGATCATGTGTTCAATTGATACTCTTCGTTTGCGTACATATTCTTTAACATCAAGATATTTCAAATCAATATGTTTAACATCACGTGTATATTTGTCATTTTTAGAGAATAAGATTGTTGCAGCGTTATCACAATAAATTTTCAACGGCTTGGCAATAGTGTTAACAATTCCTAGTCCCGAAATAAAATTCCACAGTCATAATCCATGATTTGTGGCCATAAAACATGTCACAAATTTAGCTTCCATAGTTGATGCAGCAATGACAATCTGCTTTGCACTTTTTCAAGAAATAGCTCCATCGGCCAAAAGAATTGAAACAAATAGCCAAATGTGGATTTTCTTGTATCCAAATATTCGGCAAAATCTGAATCTGTGTATCCTGTCACCTCAAGGTGATCAGACCACTTATAAGTGAGCATGTGATTTTTTGTGCCTTGTAAGTATCTTAACACTTTCTTTGCAACTTTTCAATGATCTATACCAGGAATACTTTGGTATCGACAAAGCATCTGAACAGCAAAGCTAATGTCTGGTCGGGTACAGGTTTAAGCATACATCAAGCCCCCAAGTCCCAACCGCAAATGCCATAAGGAATATTCTCTATTTCTTTCCGCTCCAATTCATTCTTAGGGCATTGCATAAGGCTAAACTTATCCCCCTTTTGAATTGGAACAATAGATGCAAAGCATCTTTCCATTCTAAATCTTTCTAAGACTTTGTTGATATATGCTTCCTGAGACAATCCTAACACTCCTTGTGATCTATTACAAAATATCTCAATTCCAATCACAAATGATGCCTCACCCATATCTTTTATTTCAAAGTTATTAGAAAGAAATATTTTGGTCTCTGTGCAATAATCCAAGATTATTAGTAGCAAGCAAAATATCATCGACATACAGAATCAAAAATATCAACTTGCCCCATTCACCTTCAAATATACACACTGATCAACAATGTTTTTCCTTAAATCCAAAGGATGTAACAATATCTGAATATCATTAAACTTAAGATACCACTGTTGGGACGCTTGCTTAAGTCCATATATCAATCTGTTAAGTTTACACACCATGTATTCCTTTCTTTCCACTACAAATCCGTTAGGTTGACTCATATATATTTCTTCCTCTAAATTTCCATTCAAAAAGACAGTTTTCACTTCCATTTAATGTAACTCTAAGTCATAATGAGCTACTAATGTCATATTTATTTTAAGTGAATCTTTCTTTGAAACGTGTGAAAAGATTTTATTGAAATCAATACCATCTTTTTTATGAATAAAACTTTTGCAACAAGTCTAACCTTGTATCGTTCAGGGATGGATTGTTGATACGTATATTCTATTGTTTTTTCAAATAAAAGATGGTGTCACCTAAGAAATGCAAAAACATGCAGGATTTACAAGTTTGGCAAGGACCACAAGGAGGTAAACCAACATATGTTACTCATAGCTCACTGACTCAAATCAAGAGGGTTGAGATTCAAACTTATGACCTTGTGGTTACAAGTTTGTATCCTTAATCATTTTGGTTGGATTTACCATAGAGCATCACATTTGATAAATTCCCAAGAAAGTCTGTCATAGGTTTTTCTATATCAATTTTAACCAAGACCAGAGGTGGAACCATTGTGGGGCAGCTGCCCCCTCCCCCACCCCACTCTTTTATATATATGTATGTATATATATACATATTTAGCATTAAATGTCATATAAAAATTATATTTATGTTGAAATTGTCAATAGTTTGAATTGCTTAAGACTTGAACTCTAAATTTGATCTTAAAAGACTTTGATCCTAGCCGACGACTACATGAGGGGGAAGCTATCATAGAAGCTTTACCCCTTGCTTTACAGAGATAGTTATGAACTTACTAAATGACTAGATTCTCCCGGAACGCTAGCTAAGCTAATAGTCTTAGTTCCCTTCAATTCAATCAATAAGCTTTTTTATTGATTCAGGGCGCCACCCCCTTTCTTAGAATTAGAACCCATTGAGGGGGGCCTCGGCCCGGGAAGGGGAGAGTGGCCGAGTGGTCAAAAGCGACAAACTGTAAATCTATTGAAGTTTTTCTACATAAGAGAAAAGAGGCATTCATCAGCGTAGGAAGGCCAACCGAGCGAAGCTCTTTCTTTTTTTGGACGTGCCGTGAAGTTCAATTGTATCGTATGTTATTTAGAGAGGTGGGCGAACTACTACGATCTATATATTCCCCATATCCACACTTTTCCATATCTTCTCTCATTCATTTTATCTCTTTCATTTCTTCACAAGATAAATTAAATATTTCTTAGTCTACTTTTTATGAATCATTTAATTAACAAATTAAATGCTCTTTTACTCTTACTATTTATGAATCATTTAATTAATGTAGTATATAAGTTTATATTATACTTTATTGTATTCGAATTAATTTAGAAAAATCGATCTAACTAAAAGAAATTAAAATTAAAAAGTATTTATGAATATAGTGTTATTCAATTGGGTAAAACCATCAAAGTCGAGCACTTAATTAAGTACAAAAAGTCATTTAAGACTAAATCGAGAAAAACCACTATAGCCTAGAACTAAATTGAATATTAACTCTTAAGGGATTCTAATGGAGTAAGTAAACATTAGAACAAATTTCACTTTTAGTTCTCAACTATTGTAATATTGTCTTTTATTTGTTTGTCAACATTTGACTTTTATTTGTTTGTCACAAATAGTCATCCATTTAAAGTTTTGTCATGTCAAGTGTTTAATAAAAAGAAAGTTAATATGTAATTTTATCATTCAAGTCTTTATCCGAATATATAATTTCTCTCCTCTCTTGTAAACTTTTTAAATTGAATAATAAAATTACATGTAAATTAATTGTGACAAACAAATGAAAATCAATTATGTAATGTAGCAAAATTTTAAATTAAAAAAAAAAATGACTAGATGTGGCAATGTCACAATAATCAATGACTAAATACTTGAAAGATAATTTTCAAAAAAAAAAAAAAATACTTGAAAGATAACCCATAAAGTCAAAGGAATGGCTAGATAGTTGACTTATATAGATTCTTTTCAGTATGGAACCACAAACAAAAGAGCATTGCCAAAAATTGACAAAATAATAGTTCTATTTAGACATCAAAAAAAGTGTTCCTTTTGAAGTCAAAATTGATTTTACCCAATATTTTACATTTTTACCCGATACCTAAAATATGTTTTGAATTGTTCTAATTTTGCCCCCAATTAAAATCTTAACTGTCACTAAAAATGGCTACTAAAAATGGCTAACATACAATTTCATCATTCACAGTAAAGACATATAATGCATGTACTTCTGACAATAGAGTGTTCCAAAATTTACTCATTTATGACAAATGGGTTTAAATTTACATATGCAAATCCTAGCTATATATCCCATAAACTTAAAACTTCAATCCTCATATGCATTGAGGGCAGGGCTTGTTCTTGCAGAAGCAAGAACCCCAAGTCAAATTTAATTAAAACAAAAATATAAATATCCTTGCAAGGATGCCTTCTGCTACCAACACTTACATCAACTAAATATCTATCTATCATGCAGAAGCAATGATATTCATCTTAGCCATTTCTTCAAGCATGTACTTGGATTCCTCTACATAATCAACAGGGGCAACACCTCTCACTGTTATCCTTTGCCTTTTCTCATTGTTGTACTCTTGAACTGCAACACTAACTTGTAAAAGGTAAGGAGTCCATGTGGCTTCTTTCAGCTTCTCTTGGAAAACACTCTCTCCATCCTACCCACAACAAAGCCATACATGTTAGATTAATTATGTCTTCAAGTTTCAAGAATAAAGGAGGAAAGGGTAACTCCAGCCAAGATGGCAAGAAATTTTTTACCTGAGATTTCACCCTATCTAGTTCATCTGCAGTACAGCCTATTATCTTCTCAGCCTGTTCATTGAAAACAGATAGCCAAGCTTCACCACTTGCATCAGAAACTTTCATCACCATTATATATCTGGAAATTTGGCAAAGAAGAGTTGAGTTAGATATTAATGTTTTCAGGGCTTCTTTAGCAAGAGATTGATATGCACTTCCAAGTACAAACCTTAGTCTGCACTCTTCATCATTCTTCTGGCAACCTTCACACCAGTAGCCAGACCCAATGGCCTCAGTAACTTTCTTGTTGCATGTCTTGCACCCACGATACCACATAGCTTGATCGGGTTTGATGTAACTGATACTTGCCTTAATTCTGAAAAACACAGGCTGCAAATAGATACCATTTCATATATTAGAGAGGTAGAGCAGAAAGCATACAAAATTTACAAATGTCACAGCAAATCATATCAAATTATTCTACTACTATGGGAATTTCTATCATTTTGCTTGCACTTTAAGGGTTTAAGCTATTATACCTTGCCCTCACCCAGGGATGAGTTACTGGTTATATGAAGCAGGGAAACCCTTTCAGACTGACTGGACCATGATCCATTTTTGGAAGAGGGGCTCAAACCAGAACCAACAGAGGCCAATGTTGTTTCTTTACCTTCAGCATCAAACCTGTTCAAAAATAAACATGAATATCAAGTGAATGGCTTGTCAAAATGAATTGGAAAAAACAAAAGAAAAAATCTTATCAAAATATTTGTACCATGCTCTCAAGTCTTTTGCTTTGGGTACATCTGGATTCACCAGCACTGTACTCTTGCTCAATGCTGATAAAGAAACACCTGAAAGAAGAATATAATAAGAGCACTTATCAAACAAAAGTTCTATTTTTCAGACTGGTTATCATCCATCATGGGAAACTTATTACCTTGGAAGTCTCCAACTTTAACAGATTTGATTGCAACTACTGGAGATTTGTCAGCCATATCTAGCAATTCTTGTCCTACACTGGTGGCAAGATCATTCCATAGAGACACCACAACAGTCTTTTTCCTGAAAATTGATTTTAGTGTCAGGTTTAAGGTCATAGAGAAAGGCAAAATGTAAAATGCAATTTCTGAGGATCCCATACGTCTCATCAGCAATAGTTATGTCACGCTTCGGAATCATCTCATTATTACTCTTCCTCCGGATACTCATTGTAGGAGAAACACTTTGAACAACACCAATAATATCTACAAGCCACAATACCCAAGAATCATTTCAACAAGCCAAAAACAAGGACTAAAAGAAAATACAATGGTAGAGGTAAAGTTCCTTACCAACTAACTCCCGTCCATTTACATACGGACCCAGTTCATCAATTGGGACAAAATTGAATTTAGTTTCAGGAATAAAAGCAGCTTCATTGCTAGCCTCTTCCACTTGAGAGTTCTCATTCAGGGTCATTTCATAATCATTCTGTACCGTCTTGAACTGCTTGTTAGCCACTCTTAAAGTTCCCTTTGAAATGTAATACATTTTACCCAATTCAAACTTGTCATAGAACTTCTTTGCAGCTTCATTAAACATTGTTGCTTGAATTTGTGTGCCCTGGAAATAGCAACATTAGACAGTTCAATCCATCAATGTTTGACAAAGTTCATTCTATACCTCAAGGCATGATAATTAACAGTAGTAAACTGCAATCCACTTACATCCTGGTCTGTTAACTCAACATTGAAGACACAGCCTTCTCCCCTAGCATTCTTGTAAAACCGCATGTTTCCCTTGCTAGTAACACAAACTTTAATTGTCCAATTTCCTTGGTATGGGTTCAAGGAAACAAGTGGATGAATTCTCCTGGTCATTGCCATGCGTGCTGTTGGTGCCATGCTGACATCCATCAAAACAAGATTAACCCTCAGGATTTGAACAATATCACAATATCTTCATATAAAACACCAATTAATGCAAAATGCAACATGTTAAAAACAGAGAATTTGAATAATCTTTTAGCCACAGGCTTTTCATGGAAAACACAAAAGAGACAGAAGTCCCAATATCTAATATAAGGGTAAAGAAAGGGGCAAGAGAAACTCACTTTCCATTCTGCTCATGTACAATCTGTGCAGCTGATTTGGCTACAGTTTCTTCCTTTGGCTTTAAAGTAATGCCAACTGTCTCACTTTCCTGAACACTTTTAACATCTAGTTCCTGTTTTGTCTTCAATATAATGCCAGCCCCTTCACTTTTAGCCTCAGCCTTGTATTCAGCCTCAAGGGAAGGAGACACAGCCTCACATTTTGTTACAATTAGGTACCTAAAACGTTCAAATCAAATCAATGAGTCAAACTGTAGCTATCAGATAGAGAACAAGACCATTAGCACATAGCAAGAGCTCTATTGATACTCACTTTTCATTCTTCATGGGGATGTCATTGAGAGTATAATCAAGAATCCGAACAAGGCCCAAGTTCTGAATAGCTCCAGAGATGACCTCGGATGACATACTAGACTGCAAAATCGCCTTAAGCTTCATCTTCCCATCACTGGCCGTAAACCTATAATTAAATCAGGTGCTCAACTTCAGCAAGATTTTATAAATCAAAAAGCTTTTTCAAGTGTTTTCCTTACGGAATACTTCCATCGACAATTATCTCCAAGATAATACTAACAATAAAACTGAAATCCCAAACCCTACACTACAAAAGATCAACAATCAATGCAAATTAGGACATCCATAACACACTGGATCTAATAGAGAAGCAAAAGACACGCAATTTAATCACCTAAACACCTAAATTAACGCTGAAAACGAAGGACAGGCTCAAAATTATGCATTTAAAATTCCCATTTTTATCAACCCAGGAAAAACAGCGCTGGAACCATAAATCAATAAAGAAAATTTTAACAACACACGGCACTCACATGTATCGGTTACCGGTTGGCTTTAGATCCACGACTTGGACGACTATCTCCGGTAGGTCAGACCCAGATTCCGGCGAAGGGTTTGCTAGAATGGTGGATATGGCATCTTGGCTAACTGAAATCTCCATCTCTGCAGACAACGGCGTAGGTAGAAATCCACACAAAGAAAAGGCTCCGCGCGGAGGGAGGAGAGGAATGAATGGGAGAAATTGAGAATAAGGTGAGAGAGAGAGAGGGCTTCTTGTACTTGAAGCTTTTGAGCGCGGGAATGTTTCGAGGGAGTTCTGAAAATTTTTACAGTTTTATGGCGGGGAAATGATTTTATCCTTCTAGTTGCCGCCAAATCATTTGTGATTTGAATTTTTCTTTTGAATTCCTTACCAAAATTTTCACTTTATTATATTTTTTACCAACTCTTTTTTGTCCAAACTACTCCGCATATCATTGTATCAACATGTTTGATTGGTGGGTGGGAAAAAAATTGATAATAAATTAAATTTAAATTATATGCAAAATAAATTATTTAAAATATTGATTCAATCAATCAATTGTTTAGTTAGTGAAAAGTACGAGAAAATTGTAATTTATGTCCCTTATCAATATGTCAATTATCAATGTCACCCTTTAATTATTAGTGGTGTAAATATTGCTCATCAATTTTCAAAACGTGACATATATTGCACATTTTCTAATAAGAAGAAAGAGAAATATTGTTATCGGAGAAAGAAAAAATGGAGGGAAAATGTGTGGTCTTCGAACATAGAAAACGACGAGTAACCATATTTACGATACTAATAATTCAGATGATAGGCAATATATGTCATGTTTTAAAAATTGAGGTCAATATTTGCACCACTAATAATTTATGTGTGACATTGATAATTGATATATATAATATATGTGAGGGATATAAATTACAATTTTTCTAAAAAATAACTTGTTGAGAATAATTAGTATAAAAAGTCATATCTCCCTAAATAATAAATATATGTTGGATTAACATATGAATTCATGGTTTTCAAAAAAAAAAAAAAAAAAAAAAAAAAAAAAAAAAAAAAAAACATATGAATTCACTCTATATCTTTTCTTTCCAAATATGTGAAAAATAAATTATTAAATGAGAGCAATAAATTTATTTTCTATTTAATAAATTCTCCCACCAATCTAATAATTAAAATCTATTTTTCTCAAATTTTAATAAAAATGTCTTATATTAAAATATATTTCGGTGAACCAAATATCCATAGTAGTTTAACTTTTATTTTTCAAATTTATGGTACTTATAAATTTACTCATTAAACTATAGTTATTTTTGTCACGTCAACATTTTATCATATGATATTAGGAATGTAGGATAAAGCTACCATTATCAACAAATTTCACCATAATCTTTTAGTATATGATATAGTAATAATATATTTTTTTTATGGATTACCATGAATTAATCGAGTCCAACGTACATTAAAATAGAAATCCACTTATATATATACTAGTTTTTTACGCGCATTGCGTGATTGAGATAATGCCCAATGTTTTTTTTTTTAAATAAGTACTATAAAGTATATCAAAGTAACTACTTTAGGTCATTTTACATGTTAATCTAAACAGTTAATTTTTTAAAATATCTTTTTACCAACCGTTGATATAATTCGCTGGTCAAATCCGCTGATATAATCCGTTAACGCTAACCGCTAACTACTAATTGTTAAACAATGACATTGCGAGGTAGTTCTCACTTCAATTTGTTATGTGATTTTAATACTATCTTTGTCAACAAATCCCTCAAATAGTTAATATGATTGGCTTTATTAATTATATATTTTTTATATATATATATTTAAGTACTATAAAATATATCAATGCAAGATTATATTAGAATTGTTCATGCATAGATAATTAAATTTTGAATTTGCATATTTAAATAGGTAATTCTAAGTTTACAAATGCAAGATAATATAGTCAAGATTAATTATAATTGGGAGAAGATTAATTATAATAATTGTCAATAAAATAGTTGTATGCGTATGGTTGAAACCAAATACGGGAAATAAGGGAGAGCAAATAAAAATTAGAGCATAAAATATTAAATATATACTAATATTGAAGGGCTAACTGCTGATTGATAAACAAGGACATTGCGAGATCGTTTCTCACCTCAATTTGTTGTGTGATTTGAATACTCTTTTTGTCAATAAATCCCCAAAGTAGTTAATATGATTGACTTAATTATACTTTTTTTTTTTAATTTTGTTATAACAATTATTATTATTATTATTATTATTATTATTATTATTATTATTATTATTATTATTATTTGAAAAAATTAGTCGTTTAGATTATCTTTTTACCAACCGTTAATATAATTCGCTGGTCAAATCCGCTAACGTTAACCGCTAACTGCTGATTATCAAACAAGGACATTGCGATGTAGTTCTCACTTCAATTTGTTGTGTGATTTGAATACTCTCTTTGTCAACTAATCTCTCAAGTAGTTAATATGACTGGCTTTATTAATTATGTTTTTTTAATTTTTAATTTTTTCATGGTATTAATAAAATACTTGGTAAATAAATATACAGCATTATTTGGTATTATAACTTTGATATTTAATTAAAAAATAGTGCACAACAAAGATAATAGACAATGTAGTGAATATAATTAATTGATTAATTTGAATGTAAAGAATTTTTACATTAGAAAAAATAAAGACAATATAACTAATGAAATTATTTCTCTTATTTAATTTATTGATAATGAATAATTATTTTTTTTGAATAAAGACATAGTACACACATAATTCTAAATTAAAGAAATGCATATGTATTATTTTTTTATATAGCTACTAAATTATTAATTAATTTAATAAGAGTAAAATAGAGTACTAATTATGCCAACTTTAATTTGATTGGGATGGGGTTCGAACTTGAGACCTTTCTTATTAAAATCAATGAGTAAGTTAACGGTGAACTAACAGAAACTAACGGAAAAGATAATATTTAACGCAAAAGTTAACGAATAATCATATATAATTTAATAAGAGTAAAATAGAGTACTAATTATGCCAACTTTAATTTGATTGGGATGGGGTTCGAACCTGAGACCTTTCTTATTAAAATCAATGAGTAAGTTAACGGTGAACTAACAGAAACTAACAGAAAAGATAATATTTAACGGAAAAGTTAACGGATAATCATATTCATTAAGGATAAATTAAGAAATCTCAAGGAAAAATTAAAATCTGATCAATCTGAACCATTCATTTGATTAAAAAACTTGACCGCCATTTTTTCTACCCATTATAGGCCTAACTCTCTTGGGCTCTTATTAGTATAGTAGATATACAGCATTATTTGGTATTATAATTTTGATATTTAATTAAAAAATAGTGCACAACAAAGATAATAGACAATGTAGTGAATATAATTAATTGATTAATTTGAATGTAAAGAATTTTTACATTAGAAAAAATAAAGACAATATAACTAATGAAATTATTTCTCTTATTTAATTTATTGATAATGAATAATTATTATTTTTTGAATAAAGACATAGTACACACATAATTCTAAATTAAAGAAATGCATATGTATTATTTTTTTATATTGCTACTAAATTATTAATTAATTTAATAAGAGTAAAATAGAGTACTAATTATGCCAACTTTAATTTGATTGGGATGGGGTTCGAACTTGAGACCTTTCTTATTAAAATCAATGAGTAAGTTAACGGTGAACTAACAGAAACTAACGGAAAAGATAATATTTAACGCAAAAGTTAACGGATAATCATATTATAATTTAATAAGAGTAAAATAGAGTACTAATTATGCCAACTTTAATTTGATTGGGATGGGGTTCGAACCTGAGACCTTTCTTATTAAAATCAATGAGTAAGTTAACGGTGAACTAACAGAAACTAACAGAAAAGATAATATTTAACGGAAAAGTTAACGGATAATCATATTCATTAAGGATAAATTAGGAAATCTCAAGGAAAAATTAAAATCTGATAAATCTGAACCATTCATTTGATTAAAAAACTTGACCGCCATTTTTTCTACCCATTATATGCCTAACTCTCTTGGGCTCTTATTAGTATTCTAGATTCTAGATATAGTAGATTCATTTGATTAAAAAACTTGACCGCCATTTTTTCTACCCATTATAGGCCTAACTCTCTTGGGCTCTTATTAGTATAATAGTATATATATATATATATATATATATATATATATATATATATATATATATATCACATGTGATTAATTTGATGACAAATTTTAGTCCTAGTAGCTTGATGAATGCTATTATTGAATTGTCCTCGCACATATCATCTTGTCATTATATTGAATGTCATATCATTATTTTTTTAAAAAAATGTCATCATATCAAGAACAGCCATAATTGTTTATTTTTCTTTTGAAAACAGCCATAACTTAATTGTTTAATAAGTTATAATGTTACCATTCTAATACAATATTAACTTGTTAACACCATTATTATTTTTTTTTTTTGGGTGCACACTAATACCATTATTACTTTGCCTAATTAAATACCCTAATTTCAGAAAATATTTTTATTTTCGCCATACTATAAGTATATATTTAGTACATGATAGGCATCTAGAAGAAAAATGCACATAGACAATGGTTAAAAATCACTGTCTTTTAGGTAAATACTATATTGTTGAATATAATGTTGTTGTAAGTCACACTCAAATACAAAATGTGTACCATTGTCTTATATATCAAAGACAACGATTTAGAACGCATCGTTTATTGACTGTTATTGAAGCCGATGTTATTGTAAGTCATACTCAAATACAATATTTTTTAATCATTGTCTTATATACAAAGACAATAATTAAAAGTCATTGTCTATATATTGAGTGTTGTTGAAGCCGATGTTGTTGTAAGTCACATTTAAAGACAACGATTTTTAAACGTTGTTTTATATATCAAAGATAACGGTTAAAAATTGTTGTTTATTGAATGTTGTTGAATCCATCATTTTTGTAAGTCACACTCAAAGACAATGACTTTTAATCATTGTCTTATATATCAAATACAACGGTTAAAAATCGTTGTCTATTAATTATTATTGAAGCCGGTGTTGTTGTAAGTCGCGATCAAAGACCATTGTCTTATATCTCAAAGATAATGGTTAAAAATCGTTGTGTTTTGTCTCACAATCATGAAAAACAATTTTATAATGTTGTCT